TCCTCGGCTTCGCCTCAGTCTGCAACCATTCGTCAGAAAAGATTTTTCGGTCCTGTGACGAAAATAGCCATGTCTATTGAATTTTTTCATACGTGAATATCCAATGAGAAGTGAAAACAATTATAGATTCAAAGTGACAGAATATTCACGTATGAAAAGTTCAATAGAATCATTCAGTAGAATTTCTATTCGAAAATTCTATTTGTTCTTTGCGCCATTTCTATAGAAGATATTTAATAGACAAGTCAATAGATTTTTTTCTACAGGTTTTCTTGGGCATTTTCCTATTTTTTTTTCTTGGGTTTCATTATGAGAAACAATAGAAAATATAGCGGAAAAAATTTAGAAAATTTAGGCCAAAGAATTCCATAGAAAAATGAAAATCTATTGACTTCTTCATTCAATATCTCCTATAGAAATGGCGCAAGAACCAAATAGAATTTTTCAGTAGAATTCCAATAGAAATTCTATTGAATTTTTTCTATTGAATTTTTTTCATACGTGATTGGTAATGCTTTTCAGATATTTATCAAAATCATGACGATTGTATGTACCAACAAATCACATGTCTCGTGACTCGTATCTCGGGACTTATGTCCCGTGACTCAAGTTTCGGGAGGGCAGTCAAAATTCTCACAGAGTGTAAACGCGATTACTCCGAATTCGATTGTTAATTTTCGTTACATGTTATTAATCGATTTACGTATCAATTCTGGGCGACCAACTGAGTGTGGAATCCGCTAGGAAATCAATTCGTTTTTCTAGATGATCTAGACTATCTGGAAAAGAAGGACTTTTCAACGAGTGGAACACCCTGAAGAAGCAAAGGAAGACCCAAAAAAATTAAAAAAACTAGCGACTTTGAGAAATCGTTACTCTCAGCGGCAGGTCTGAGTGATGACGATGATGAAGTGACCTCCAGGGCTCGAACTTATCCTGTCATCGAGGATTCAGAGAGTGGTATTGAAGACAGACTCCATCGAAAGAAAAGGGGCCCACTCAGAAAAAAGAGGGAGGACATTGGGGAACGTCCATCCGATAGTCATACAACGAAATCCAGCGGAGTAAGCCCAACAAGAAAAACTCATGTCACCCAAACCCCACTCACCACAAGGAAACGTCAGGCTCGAGCTCAGTATGTCGGGGAGACCACCAAGGCTGATGACGCCGATGCTGAAGAATCTGATGAGGATGAAAGTGAAAGTGAAAGTGAAATTCTAAGAGAATTAGAATTTAGAGAGAAAAAATTTCCGCTTCACCCAGCCGGGAATCGAACCCGGGTCTCCCAGATACGCGCCGGGCACTCTTACCGACTAAGCTACCGGGAACCACAGAAATTCACTCTCAAATTCACCTCAAACACCGCCTAACCTCCTTTAGGCATTAAAGAATTCTAAGAGAAAGAAGAAAGTGGAAAGCTGAATGACAAAGAAAAAGCAGAGGAAAGCGGTCACAACGATTTAACAGAAACCTCAGCAGCATCGACCCCGATTCACGAAAATACTGACGAATATGATGATATTGAGGATACTCCTCAACTAAGAGATTCTCGCAGACGTCAGGGATTGAAGTCGCCAGTCCCTAGGAAGACAACAGCTCCATCTCGACCTACAAAGGATGCAGACGCGACAAAGAAAAGTGGAGGAGTAAAAGATCATGGTAAGTCACCAACGTCAGTTCCTCAGATGAAGATAACTGCATCAACCCCGATTCCCGAAAATACTGAAGATGATGAAGATGATGATGTTGAGGACACTCCTCAACTAAGAGATTCTCGTAGACGTCAGGGATTGAAGTCGCCAGTCTCTAGGAAGACAACAGCTCCATCTCAACATACAAAGGACGCAGGAGCAGTAAGGATAGATAGAGACGTCCAAGCTCATGATGAGTCGACAAAACTTAAGCGACCAGAAAGAATAAGTCGTATTTATACTCTATCGGATGGAGAAACTGAGGATGAAAATGGTAAGATGTCACATACTCAATGGAAATAACCCTCACTTTTTCTGACATTCTTCGATCTTCTTGAGTCGTGTCTCATGACTTGTGCCTCGTGACTCGTGCCTTATACATCGCAACTTGGGCCCTGCAGCCCGTGACTGATGTCTCGTGATTTGTGCCTTGTCTCTCGTAACTCGTGACTTGTATCTCGGGTCTCGTGAGCCGTAACTCATGACTCGGGTTTCATGTCTCGTGACTCGTGTTCTGTCTCATGCCTAGTGACTTGTGTCCCGCGTCTCGCGCCTTGTATTTCATGTCTCGTGACTCGTGACTCCTGTTTCGTGACTCGTGTCTCGTGTCTCGCATCTCATGTCTCGTATTCATGGCCCGCGACTAATGATCCGGATCCCATGTTTCGTATCTTCTGCCTATCTCTGTCTCGTAACTCCCCCCACTCCAAACCTTTACCACTTCAAACCCCCCACTTCAAATTTTTTCACTTCAAACTTCCGATTCAAATTTCACACTTCAAATTTTTTTCCACTTCAAAATTTTTTCCCACTTCAAATTTTTCCACTTCAGATTTTCCCACTCCAAAATTTTCCCANCTGTCTCATGCCTAGTGACTTGTGTCCCGCGTCTCGCGCCTTGTGTTTGATGTCTCGTGACTCGTGTCTCGTGTCTCGCATCTCATGTCTCGTATTCATGGCCCGCGACTAATGATCCGGATCCCATGTTTCGTATCTTCTGTCTAGTGCTCGTAACTCTCCCCACTCCAAACCTTTACCACTTCAAACCCCCCACTTCAAATTTTTGCCACTTCAAACCCCCCACTTTAACCTTCCGATTCAAATTTCACACTTCAAATTTTTTTCCACTTCAAAATTTTTTCCCACTTCAAATTTTTGCCACTTCAAACCCCCCACTTTAACCTTCCGATTCAAATTTCACACTTCAAATTTTTTTCCACTTCAAAATTTTTTCCCACTTCAAATTTTTCCACTTCAGATTTTCCCACTCCAAAATTTTCCCACTCATTGATACCTATAATCTGACAAAATTTCAGATTTTCCGAAATTATTTGAGCCGTATATTTCTTCGATTTTCTAAAAGTTGACCATCAAGTGGACCGATTAGACCACCCGTGCATACACACATAGTCCTCAAATTTTGTATTTTTACGTTTCAGACCAATCTACATCATTTCCAGGTAAAATTAGAGAATCGAAAAATTGAACGATTTCAATGCTTCCATTCGGTAGCAAAACCGTAGATAGGGAGAATACTTCAATGTGGTTTCTGATACTTGTAGCCCTCTCCAGGCAAATTTTTAAAGTATAGAATAGACCGTCCAAGTGCTCTGAAGATCCCACCCCTGGGTATATAGGAACCTTGGCACAGTCTAGATATAGTAGGACTAGCGAGATCGTTCCACTGAAACGAGAAATGGGGGAATGTCAGTCCAATGCATAACCTAAAATTTCCCTTGAAACAAACAAAGTGTTCCTGATTTATCAATTTTTTTAATGTTGGTGTTTTCATGGAGTTTTTCATTTTGATTTTTTCAATATATGATCAACATGATCTATTCCAGAAATTCCAAAGACGGCCAAATCCAAACGCAAGTTGCTCAATGATGAAAAGGAGTATAACTTGCTTCCTCCGGCCCGAAGACGTGGACATGAAGTATGTTAGAAGAATGAAGATGAAACTGATAAAAACTCAACATTGTATAACTTTTTTTATAGATTGAAATTTATCCAAATACTGAAGTGTTTGTGAAGAAAAGATTATTGAGGCATGCCCTCCAGTACAGTGGGAATAGACCCGGTGATTTCGTGTGTTTGTTGATGCGGTTTCTTCTTGGCGAAAAATTAAAGGACATGACGGTACAGGGTGGGAAGAATAAAGAAGCGATTCCGAAGTCGGTGTATAATGCTGTGAGGTGTAAGTCCAGATGGTATTGAACATTGAAAGGGACCACTCTGTCGATATGAAATTATGTATACTTCGATGATATTGATAGCATTTCGCACATTTTGAGCCAAAAATGATCTTGATAGGGTAAAAAATGGAATCGACAAAGAAGATGAAAAAAAATGTGATTGGTTCAGATGCGGGTTATGGAGATAAATACGTAAATATCTTGGGAAATAGAATCGACAGACTGGTCGCTTCTCATACCAATGTTCACATCTAATAAATCTAATCATTGGCCATCCATTCACGAACGATACAGCTGATTGATTGACTAGTGATGCCATCAGACGAGACGAGTGAAAACGAGATGAGAAACTTTATTTTTCGTCTGATCTTGTAGACAGGAAACCCTCTTCTCGTCTCTTCTCGTATGAAAATACAATAGAAATTTCTTTTCTCATCTAGTGGAAAATTGAAACATCCTACTGTCTCGTCTTGTGTCACCTCGTCTCGCTTCATTTCATCTCTAGAATCATATCTACTCGGAAAAATATACAGGGTGTCCCAAAAAAAGTACCTCTCACGAGTACCAAACGGTCTTATTTCGGTTTATTTTCTCTCGTTATCGCGGCCGACCCTTCTCGTCTCGTTCCTGTCATTCTCTCTCCACGCAAAATTCAGATGAGATAAGTTAGATCTCCCTATGTCTAGGGGCAGTCAACAGTCTGGTCCAAAGGGACGATCGAATGGATGAGAAGGAATACAAACGGATTGTCACACAGTTGTGTACAAGGAGTCGATCGAAGAATATCAAAGAAAAAAAAACAGACGAGCAGAATAACGGTTCAGAACGTGCAGGTGTTGATGAAGAACCAACGACAGGGATACGTCAACGCACGAATAAGAACCCAGAACCTTCCAAAGCAGCTCAGAAATCGACGCTGAACACTGAAGGAGATTCGAATTCAGATCAATATACGATTCCTTCTGAACCAGTGTAAAGTCGATCAAAGAACGGTAAAGAGAAAAGACCAGACGAGAAGAACCGCAGTCCAAAACGTAGAGTTTTTGATGGTGGAGAAAAGAACAAGAACCCGAAATCTTCCAAACTAGTTCAGGAACCAAAGTTTTCTGAACCAATGACAATCAGTGACGAAGATTCCAATTCAGATCAACCCCCAAGCCCTTCTGGACCGAAATCTTCCGAACTGGTGATCATTGACGAAGATTCCGATTCAGATGAAAACCTGAGGCCTTCTGAACCAGTTCAGCGGTCTGAGCCGAAGAGGTCTGAGCTGAAAACTCCCGAACAAGCTGGGGAACTTATTGACGAAGATTCCGATTCAGATGAAAACCCGAGGCCTTCTGGACCAGCTCAGAGGTCTGAGCTAAAGAGGTCTGAGCCGAAAACTCCCGAACAAGCTGGGGAACGTAGTCCTCCACTTGTTCAGAGATCTGTAGAGGAGCAAGTTCCTCAACATGAGATCCCTGTAGAAGTTGAGGGACAAGTCCTCCAACCAGAGATCCTTGAAGAAGTTGAGAAACAAGTTCCTCAACGAGAGATCTCTGAACAAGGTCAGGAAGAAATGGCTCCTCAACGGCAGACCCTTTCTGAAGAGCAGGTCATTCTAAAAAATGATGACATTTCTGGATCATCAGGGGAAAATCTAGAGAGAAACTTGAATCAAGGTAAGATGTATCGTTATGTATGCTTGAGTCTCGTGCCTCGTACCCCGTGTCTCGTGTCTCGCGTCTCGTGTATCTTGTCTCGTGTATCTTGTCTCGTGTCTCGTGTCTCGTGTGTCGTGGCTCGTGTCTCGTGTCTAGTGGATGGAAATTTGTATAGTACGAAGGATCTCCAAGCTCGGGCCTCGTGCCTCGTGTCTCGCGGATGAAAATTTGTATAGTACGAAGGGCCCCCGAGGTCGGGCCTCATACCTCGTGTCTCGTGTTTCGTGTCTCGCGGATGAAAATTTGTATAGTACGAAGGGCCCCCGAGGTCGGGCATCGTGCATCGTGCTCCGTGCCTCGTATCTAGTGCCTCGTGCCTCGTGCCTCTTGAATGAAAATTTGTATAGTACGAAGGATCCCCGAGCTCGGGTTACGTGCCTCGTACCTCGTGTCTCGTGTATGCAACTCGTGTCTCGTACTTTCGGTCTCGTGTTTAGTGACTCGTGGATAGAAATCTGTGTGGTACCAAGGATCCCGAGCTCGTACCTCGTACCTCGTGTCTCGTATCTCGTATATGGAAATTTGTGCACGATGAAGGATCCCCGGACTCGAGCTTCATGTCCCGTACCTAGTGTCTCGTGCCTCGTGATTCGTGACTCGTGGATAGAAATTAGTATGCTAGGAAAGATCCGCGGGTTCGGGCCTCGTGCCCTGTGTCTCGTGTATCGTGACTCGTGGATGCCAATCTGTGTGGTACGAAGGATTTCAAGCCCCTGCCTCGTGTCTCGTGTCTCGTGTCTCGTGTCTNTAGGGGGAGAGAGAGATATCCTGCATTTTGGAATAGGGGGAGAGATGGATATTCCAATAGACGATATGAACCGAGGCGTTGAGGTTGGTTGCTGGTCGTTCGTAGCACTTACAACTAGCATGAATTATGATATGCACACGTCGAAAGATGTCATTTTTCATTGTAGTAACTGCTGATTCCCTTCCTCGGTTGAATGGTTATTTATAAATCTTTTTATACATTTCAGCATCATTTAGGGAGCGGAAGAAATTTAACTAGAGACCCCGCCTGAAGTCAATCCCGTCGATCCGGGCTAGTTAAAGGTCCTCTTCATAGTCCTGCTCTTCTTGGAACTCCCGTTGAAGTTTCGTTTTTGGGAGACTTCGAATTTGTAAAATTTTGCAGTGTTCGGGTGTAAACGTTCGGAAATTTCTACGTTATCGATTTTTATATCTGGAAATTTTTAAGAGGAAAATTTCGGAGTCGAGAGTGTGAAAGTTTGAAAAATTCATAATTTGAAGTTGCCAACTTCGGTTTTGGAAGTTTGAAGTTCGAAATTCTAGAATGGAAATTGTAAAATCGAAAGGCTAGAAGTCGATCATTTTGATTTGAAAATGTCTGAAGTTGTGAATTTTGGAGTTCTAAAGTTGAAAATTTCAAAACAGAATATTTTGGAGTTGTAAATTCTCCAATTGTCAATTTCAAAGTGAAAAATGACGATATTCCAAACTTTGATGTTGAAAGCTTGGAGTGTGAGGTTCTGAAGCTGGAAATTTCCAACTAGAAACTTCTAAGTTGAAGCTTTTTGAGTTATAAGTTTTGGAGTTGACAATTTTGAAATAAAATAGTTCGTTCTAAAAATTTTGGAAGTTAAAAGTTTAAGTTGTCATTGTGGGGTTGAAAATTTTGAATTTGACCTAACCTGACCTAACCTGACTCAACCTGAGGGAAAATTGCAAAGAAATCACCGTCAGCATGTGAAGGTTGATGCCGATCAAGTATCAAGAGCCGAGCGATAGAGAATGAAACCTCCACCACTGATCCGTATGTTCTTTAATTAATGTCCCCAATTTTAGTTTAAATCAGCAATCAATAATATTAGCAATAATAGAGGAAATTCTCTATCTGAATGATTGGTGCATACCACTGTCTTCCAAGTAAACGGAGCATTTTAAAGTGAGCTTGGTTCTGAATCTTTACTCAATTTGGAAGTGAGTTGTTTATGATTTGTAAGCGCACTGCAAATCATACCAACTGACTTCCGAGTTGATGAATTTTCAAACTTCAAAAGACCATAAAGGTCAGAAATAGACTGAACACCGTGCGTTTGGAAAGTAAAATTTATAACCGTTTTGTTATACTTTTACGCTCAATTATCGTCAGCCTCTTCACGCCAATCCTTTCCAGCTGTGGACTGTTACATAAGATTATGGTGGTGTTGTGCTCAAACTGTACTGTGTGCGCATCTGGGCCTTCCTTATGGCGTACTAATACATTGAGAGGCTTCCTACTTCTCTCATACCGGGACGATTCGAGACTTTTCTTGTTCAAGGGATTAAATCATGTGCCCCGCTGAAACTTGTTGACATTCGCCGCTGAATGCTATTTGAAACTCAATGCTGAAATTCTGTTAGCAGTGTTTGGATATCTTTATTGCGTGCCATGATCACAGTAATTTCTGTTTAACACAGGAACAGTAAGATTATCATGGAGAAAAAATATAGAAGACAACGATGTCATGCCAACTAGAATGGCTGAGGGCACGGTGTTATGACGTTTCTCTACTTCAGTTATTGATCGAAGATTCACGATTCCTTCATCCTGTTAGTACACCATTGTTATCGTTTTCATCGGTGATTAGTTGCAATCTTACATCAATCGGAACACCTATGAAATAAGCTTAAGAAGGTTATATCGAACGTTATATCGACCTTTTACTCTCGAAATCAACAAGCGTCGCTTAAAGGTCATTATTATGAGAGTGAAATTGGGGTGGAATTCTAAAATCTACGGGGTATGATATAATTCGTTTTAATCAATCGGATAATGACTGAGATTGCTACGAAATTGAGACAGTCTTAGAACATTGATAGGTCAGGACACAATTTCATGTTACATTGGAAGCTATGAGTGTCTCTCAACTCTCAGTGTTTAAAGCTCATAAGTCATGCGCTAAAATTCTCATGTATGAAAAAATTTCAGACAGACCTCTAGCAGAAATTTGAGCAGGACTCCAACAAGTTCTCTAGTGTAGCTTTCAACAGACAATGAGAAGGGCCACTTGAGGAGAACCTAGAGTAGAACTTCTGACGAGATGTCGAGCTGGAACTTGATGAGAACTTCAGGGAAGAATGAGTCTTCCATTGGGAATTTCAGCTGAACATAATCTGGGACGACCAAGAGAACCTGGGCGAGAGTTCCAGGAGAGATTTCCATTGTACCTTCGACAGGATTTGGAGGGGAACCTTCAGAAAGACTTTAGACGCAATTATTACCACAACTTTCTGCTGCACCTTTGGCACGATCTTTGAAGTCAGAATTCCGTTCAAGATCCTGCTGGAAGCTCTGCTGCAGGCCCTTGATATTTTTGAAGGTCTTGAGTAGTGAGGTTCGGAGACTGAGAGATGAGAGCATATATGTAGGTATCCACATGAAAAGCTCTTTTTCTCGAATCTAGATTCCAAAATATTCATGTTTCCCTCTGTACACCTTCCATCTAACAGGAATCCAAGATATTCATGTTTTCCTCCCTATACTTCCCATTCAACCCCATGACGAGAACGCTTCACTACCACACACAAGCCGAAGCAGGCTTGCCCGTAATCCCACTCCCGTTCACGGCGAGAGGATTTGGTAGCAGTGTTACCAGATCGTGATGTCACCCCATTTAAAATTGTACAGGTTTTGGCTATAAACCGCCAAAATCTGGCAACCCTGTTTGGTAGAACTAGTTGTCGAATTCTGTAGTTATCAAGTTCTGAAAATTTCAAGTTCTGAAATTGTCAAATTTTCGGAGTGTGAAGTTTCTAAGTTTGAAATTTCAAGCTTGAAAATTTTCAAAGTTGAATGATTTTGATATTTCAAATCTTGAGTTAGAAGAATTTGAAGCTGCAGATACCGATTTGGAAAGGGTGGAGTTGAAAAAATGTTAAATTAAAATTCTAAGAATATCAAGGTGTGAAGTTGTTAATTATTGATGTAGTAGAGTCTGAAGATTCCACCTTGATTTCTCCCTGCGTTGAAAAAATGAGGCAGGAGTCAGGGGAAAAAATTTGAAGTGGGTGAAATTTGAAGTGGGGAAAAAATTTGAAGTGGGAAATTCAAGTGAGAGCATTCGGAAACAGGAGAACTTTGACGTTAATTTGGAAGTTGGGTGTTTTGGGAACACGAGGTCCAGACGGCATTTTAGTGAGATTTCCAACAGCAGAACCTCCAGCGAGGATTTCAGTGAAACCTGGATGATATACACCAGAAATTCCTGCAGGACTATTCTACCTAAAACCCTTTTTGAGGTCCCGCTAGAAGTGGTATTAAAGGTCCATGAACTTGTTGGAATTCGGGAGTTATGAGTATCGAAGAGCGTGGGCCGAGACAGAAAAAAATCCATAGAGCTTCCAAAACATTGCATTCCATTCCATTTTATCCTAACACTAGGGGGCTTCACTCCCTGCTCGCTTCGCTCGTCAACCTCGGGGGGGCTTCACCCTCCGCTCGCTTTGCTCGCCCCCCTCCGGTGTGACCGTGCGGGTATAACTATGGATGTTCAACAGCTGCATTATTCAAATTTTATTATGGAATGAGATGATATAGGGCTTTTTGCCAAAGGAGTAACCTCAGCGGCATACCCCCACTCTACCCGAATCCTCACCTAATCGCGTGCTCCCAACCGGCCCAACCCAGGTTACTTCTTTGGTAATATGCACCAAGATAGGTATGTAGTATAAGGACCCTCCCAATATATGGGGAGGGTCCTTATACATAAATTCTCCATATATGAGAAGGGTCCCCATATATGGGGAGGGTCCTATACAGGGTGTAACAAAATTTGCGCATGTGACCTATATAGCGATATTCCTCGTGAAAGGATAAGACGGAGTTGAGGGAGCGGTTTTTGAATCGGATGAATATTGACAGAGATATTCACGATTGGATACTGAATACCTGACTTGAGTATAAGAACGAGTGTTATGACGCCTCGTTCTAAACGCCAACTTCATTCTTCACTTTTTTCAACTGAAAAAACAATCGCATGTCAAACGAAAAAAATATAGAATCATTTTTCATTTTCATTTTAAAAACTTTCTAAATATTCCCCACCCCCGTTGCGGTATGGAGGTTGATGTGGACCCAGCGGTGGAGAGAATAATTGCATGCGGTCCTCTTCAAGAATTTAAATTTCACCGGCACTCTTGACAATCTTCAAAAGAGGATTTTTTTTAGAAGGAAACCTTGATTAATGACCTGAAGAAACTCTTCCTACGAACCTTCCAAGGTTTGCTAGGCAAACTACCTCTGGAGGTCTACCAAAGGTTCCTGATGAAATTCCTGCTGAAGGACCTGAAGAGACTCCTACTACGAATCCTCCAAAGATTCCTAATGACATTCTTTATGAAGGACCTGAAGAGACTCCTTCTACCAATCTTCCAAAGGTTCCTGATGCAATTCCTTATGAAGGACCTGGAAAGACTCCTTCCACGAATCCTCCAAAGGTTCCTGATAAAATTACTTATGAAGAACCTGAAGAGACTCCATCCACTCATCCTCCAAAGGTTCCTGGGGAAAATCCCTCTGGAGACCCTGAAGAGACTTCTACTACGAATCCTCCAAATGTTTCTGATGAAATTCCTTATGAAGAACCTAAAGAGACTCCTTCTACGAATCCTTCAAAGGTTCTAAGCTTTGGAGAATTCGTAGAAGGAGTCCTTTAAAGGTTCTAAGCTTTGGAGGATTCGTAGAAGGAGTCTCTTCAGGTTATTCATAAGGAATTTCATCAGGAACCTTTAGAGAATTCGTAGAAGGAGTCTCTTCAGGTTCCTCATAAGGAATTTCATCAGGAACATTTGGATGATTCGTAGTAGAAATCTCTTCAGGTTCTCCAGAGAGATTTTCCCCAGGAACCTTTGCAGAATTCGCGGAAGGAGTCTCTTCAGGTTCTTCATAAGGAATTTCATCAGGAACATTTGGAGGATTCGTAGTAGGAGTCTCTTTAGGTTCTTCACAAGGAATTTCATCAGGAACCTTTGGAGGATTCGTAGGAGGAGTCTTTCCAGGTCCTTCATAGGTAATTTCATCAGAAACATTTGGACGATTCGTAGTAGTGGTCTCTTCAGGTTCTCCAGAGATTTTCCCCAGGAACCTTTGCAGGATTCGTGGAAAGAGTCTCTTCAGGTTCTTCATAAGGAATTTTATCAGGAACCATTCGAGGATTCGTGGAAGGAGTCTTTCCAGATCTTTCATAAGAAATTTCATCAGGAACCTTTGGAAGATTGGTAGAAGGAGTCTCTTCAGGTTCTTCATAAGGAATGTCATCAGGAATCTTTGGAGGATTCGTAGTAAGAGTCTCATCAGGTTCTTCAGAGAGTTTTCCCCCAGAAACCTTTAGAGGATTAATGGAAGGAGTCTCTTCAGGTGCTTCATTAGGAATTTCATCAGGAACCTTTGGTAGACCTCCAGAGGTAGTTTGCCTAGCAAGCTTGGAAGATGCGTAGGAAAAGTTTCTTCAGGTCTTTCAACAAGGTTTACTTCTAAAAAATCCTCCCTTGAAAATTTTCAAGATTGCCTGTA